ACAGGATCCAAGCTCCTGCACTCCCACCCTGGAGCAGAGTGGCTTGGGGGAGAATGCCATATACTGAATTTTGGGCCCTGTACCTGGGAAGGGGCTTTGCAGGGCTCCCAGACTTGTTCAGACTCATTCAAACAACCTCATTCCATCAACTTACAATACCAGGCTGAGTAGCTTTAGTTCCTAGTGTTCAGCAGTGAACCTTACAGCCTTAACACTAAAGGGGTCTGTTCACTAATGCAGTTTTGTACAGCATAGCATAAACAGCCCAGCATGCATCCAAGTTATATCTACAGGCTCATAATCGTTACAAAGCAGACAGTAGCTTGTTCTTATACTGAGACTTTCTGCTGTAGTGTGGTTATACTAAGACTTTTGCCCCATAATACTTAGGAGCTAACTGTACCACTTACAGTTTGTTTGATAATACACTTCTATTTATTGCACTGATAGCACAGGACACTGTTTGGCTCCTTGTAAAACCAACTGTACATTCCATCTAATGCTGCTGCTGTCATCTGACTCATGTTAAATTACAGCCTTAAACAGAAATGTTGACTTTTCCCATGTGACAAAGATTAGATTTCAAAGCATGAGCCAGTGTTGTTGTTTATTTCAACACCTATGTTCCAGTTATTAGGCCAGTAATGTACTTTGAAATTTAAATTGAAATGTTTATCTAAAAGTGTGTAGTTTTATTAAAATGATTGACTTCTGATCACTCCAGTTTGACCTGCCTGTCGTTCTTTTTTGTTGTTTTTTAAATCTCTGAAGACAGTGGTGAAGCATGAGCCAGAAGTAAAATTTGATAGCCTGGGACCAACCAGAGCCAGTTGCAAAGCACCATATATAGACATCACAGCACTTCTGAGCTGTATCTGCATCCCATTCTGCTGCTTGACCTCTGATGACATGCGATGCTTTGGTCAGTCTAACAAGAAGCAGCCATGGGGAGGCTTTGTCATGGTATCTCTGTGTGTGTACAGGGGTGGGGGGTACACAGCCTGTGTGAAAGGGAAGGATCCTGAAAACTTCTTTGCTATTGTAAGGACCCCGTCTCATGGGATGCTCAGTATATGCTTTATTTAGGCCCTATTGAGCATGGCTGTGCTGTAGTAAACATTGGAATGTGTTCTGAGCAATTGCACAGTAATGCTTATTGTGATTTCTAAGGTAATATGTGACATGGTATGAAACCTCATGGAGCTGGTCCAAGACGGGAGCAGTGCCAGGGCTAGAATCAACATCCAGCAAGCTGCGTGGTATTATCTCCATGGAGTGGTTGGATGATAACTGAACATGCTACTTAGGACAAGCTAAAGACATATACCTCCCCTGTAAAGTTCTAACTTTGCTATGACACAATTGCACTTAGCACAGTACAGTGGCACCTAGAACACGTTTTATTGCTTGAACATGTGGACACTCCTATGGTCCCGTGTGCTAGACCTGGGTCATAGGGTAGTGCAGGGCCCAATCCCAGCATGCAGGACCAGGAGTGGTAGGCTTGGGATCCTGGGGCCCTGATCCCTGTGCATGGGACAGGCAGGGTAGCATGTAACCCTGGGCTACAGTCCCAGTGTATGGGGCCAGGTAGGGGCTGTGCAGGGCCCCACAGCCTAATTTTGGCATGCAGAGACCAGTGGGCTGGTGTGGGGCCCCAGGCCCCAATCTGAGAGTGCAGGGCTGGGCAGGGGTAGTGTGGGATCCTGGGGCATGGACCCTAGCACAGAGGGCCAGGTGGGGGCAGTGTTGTCCAGATCCAGGTTGAACTGTGAACTACAGCATGCCCCATGCCACTCAGTTGCCCTGCAGGGCCAAAAGGTTGAGTACCACTGGCCTAAAGTGTACATGTGTGGAAGTGGTTGAGAAGCAGGAACTGATGCTATTGAACTGTTGGGGGGCAGAACGTGACACAAAAGCCTGTAGCTGAACTGTGGCTGTACAGGAGCAGCTGAACCTGGGTTTGGGAAGGGGGCAGGTAGGATGGAATAGCTCAAATAAGACAGGTGAAGCTAGCAGGCACCTGGGGGCATTTTTATCCCCACCTGGGGAAGCAAGTGTTTGTACGTTCCAGTTCCAGTTCTGATAAGTGGGTGGCTCAGTGGCCCATGGTCTCAGGTGGATGTTTTGCACCAACCCTGTTCTACATGGATTTCAGGCCTGCGTGGCTGATTTTCACTGTGCTGGCCATAGTCCTGCCTCCAGAATATCTGGAGCTATTCCCTGGGACTGCTCTCTGCTGCTTCTGCCCAGAGGACAAACAGCTGTAAACTGTGTTCACCTCCTCCACATGGCAGCCTTGGGTAGGGTGCATCCTGCCTGTTGATAAGCCCCACTTGCCAACCCAGAGTGGGATATTTTAGCAGCCAGAAGCTGGGAGTCTGTTCAGCCACAGCACTGCAGCATAGGCACTGGATGTTAACACTGATGGTGGAGGGAGGGTTTAGGGGTGGGTGGCTTCCTTTACTAAGATGCGACTGTAAGTGGGGCTGAACACTGAAGGAGGGCAGGGGCTATGACCTGACTCAGCTGCAGCACCCAGACTCCAAATCTGAGAGAGTTAACATGAGCCCTGGTGGCTCAGAAGGAATGGCCAGATAAAGAACTCATTTGGTGTTGTGGGACATTGAAGGGACAGTTTGGGACACTTTTATGCTGTTTCTGGTTCAACTGCTCTTAGTCCACTAGGTGCTCTCATGCCAGAGGATGCCCTCCCCACATGCCTCAGCGTGTCCAAGACTTTTTCTCAAGCAGTGCCTTTTAAGATGCACTATTTACTTCCCTGCCACACACCATGCTATGCCCCCCCCATGCCCTTACCCTTACAGGAGCTCCAGGGATGGTGATGGTAGTTGGGCCAAGGGAAAGGGACAGGTTCTGTAGCAGGCAAGCTGCTAACAAAGGGCTTCACACTCAAACCCAGGACTTACACCTCTTGAGATGATGCCATTCAGTCCCGCCTGCCTGTTCAGGCTGTTTTAAGAGTTTGCTGCTGTGGGGCAAGGATCAATACCCCA